GGGGACCACTGATATAGTGTATATGTGCATAGCAGTTTATTTATGATATTGAGAATGTTTGAGGTTCAGGGGTACTCTGGCCACAGCAGGAGTGACCGCTCTGGGAAAATAATCGACATTTGCTGCTTTAAGTGTTTTTAATTCTATGTATTTGATTTAGAATTGAAAACTAGTAACAGTTTTTGTGTTTCTTATGCTTATTTCTTTTCACTATGTCTGTGAGCTGCACGCAAAGCAGTGGCTGGGGTAGAGCCACAGGGAAGTGTGTTCTTTATGCACATCTTTGGTCAAAGAGGAATTGTGTGTAACATGCTGGTCCGGCTGTTTTTTTGGTGATCCGTGCTGTGCTGTCCTGTGCCGTCCCTTTTAAGGCTTTAAAAAAAAAAAAAAGGAGGGAGTGAATCAGCAGATGAGGAAGTGTCTGCCCTGTGTTATAACCAACCCTCTTCCTGCAAATCACATGAGATTGTGCCTGACCTGCATCATGTACAGCCGGCTTCTGCTCCTACTACTCGCCCTGGTCTCCTGGATCCATGCAGGGCTCTACTACAAGCAGGGGCAGCACTGCTACAAGCCTGTAGCCAGGGGGAGCTTCGGACAGAGGTGGGTTTTCACTTTGTATGTTCCTATTCTAGCAGAATTTGTAATTGTAGCATCATTTAGGTGTTGGTCACTGGCAGCCGTTGCAGCGCTGTACAAAGTGAGCAGCACATACAGGAGCTATGTTGACTTCTCCACAAAACCTAGTATAAGATTTACTGGATGGCCAGGTCATGCCTCTGTTGTCCCCTCCTGTCCACTGGGGTTGATCCTGAGCTCATTACGAGGGCGGAACCTCCCTCTTAAAGAGGCTCAGTCCCCTAAGCCTATAATTCAGTTACTGGTAGAAGTGGAAAAGGTAAAACCACCCAAAAGTTTTTTCTATATCTCTCAGGGACTCTGGTAGTGGGACCTGCAGCCTTGTGCACATTTGTTGGCCATTACGGGGGGATCCTATTCACCATTCTGGATTTGTTTAATTTTTTCACTGAGGAGAGGGAACACCCTAAGGTGAGCTCCAAAAACTCTTAGAGTGTAGGGACAGAACTTTTGGAACTGAGGGAGCTATGGTGTTGCCGATGTCTCAAGAAATAAAACAGGCCTCCACTTGATTCACCCCGTTAGTCTCCTCCTATAACACAAATATCACTCATTGGACGGATGGCCTCCTTAACCCTGTAACACACTTCAGGTAGTGTACTGGAATGGCCCATCTCAACATCTGCAGAGAAGAAGCAGTTAAAGGTCTGCAAAAAAAGTTTGCTACAATCCTTGCCACTCCTAATTTTATTTTAATATTAAAATTGGAGTTTTGTTTTAAGTTCAATGTGACTAAAAAGGATTATTGTTCAATCAAAGCCTCTGATTTACTATTTTTGTAAACGCACCGTTGACCCCTGTTTTTGTTTTGTTTTGTTGAGGCTGCTGTATAGAGCATGCTGAAACCTGTAGTTCCTGGTCTTGTCTGCATCCTGTGCTGCTGGACTGTGGGCTCATGTACCTAAAGACAATGTTGTCCCCTCTGGATTTTTGCAATGCCACGTTTGCTGTTCTATTTTCTTGTGAATACAATCTTTGCTCTGGATATTTTGTACAAGGAAATACCACAGAAATCCAGTTGTGTAATTTCCCCGTACCTTTAACTCTGGTATTGACACAGTAGCCGGCTGTCTTTAAAGGTACTTCAAACAGGATTGGGAAATTGTGTCAATCTCGTGACAAACCAGACTGGCTGCTTTCTCAGTAGTCATAATAAACAATGTAGGCCAAGTCCAATTAGTTGCCACAGTATGCGCAAAAAGTGATCACCTGGAAGAGGTGACCGTTGTATTTCCATTTTTAGACTTGAATTCTGAGTTTAGCAGAACGTGTTTAAAGGAACAGTCCACCCAAAACCGATATTTGTTATGACATGGTGTCATTTGGTTACGTAAAATAAAAGAAGCAGTAAGTGAGGGTGGGTTACAGCAGATGGGGAAAACTGGGAACATAATTGTGGAGATCTTTCACTCGGGGTACTAAAGAGGTGTAAGAATCTGGGGGGGCATTCAGCTTTCCAGCCTCTTCCAAAACGTATTCATGTTATGTGTGCACTGACCATTTTATGTTACATATGTTTAATTATATAATTAATATTTTTTTTTAGGACATACCCTCGGCCGCATGAATACCTCTCTATAAAAAGCTTGCCAAAGGCTTGGGACTGGCGTAATATTAATGGTTCCAATTATGTCAGCACTACAAGAAACCAGCACATTCCTCAGTACTGTGGATCATGCTGGGCACATGGAAGTACCAGTGCCATGGCAGGTGGGTTCCCTTCATCTTACATTTACCTTCTGCCAGCAGAGTACCCAACAGCGGGCTTTGTACCTTACATTTATCTGTAGCTTTGTTTCCTAAATCATAGGCCCGGTACCAGAGGTTTCGCCTTCACTGTACATATTGGTCTCTGTAGATGATTTCATTATTGGCTCTGAATATGTCAGAGGACGGCGAAGGTTTGTGATGGAGAAAAAAGGATGTATTTTATTCATGTCCAATGAAGGACACGGGGAGACTGTAACCTTCAGCTTATACTGCCGCTTACAGGAAGATTGGACACTGCCAAAGACACAAAAATTTAGACTAGCCCAGTATAACTCCTCCTGCTAACATAGCTCTGCTGAGAAAACACTAACTTACTAGTTACTAGCACAATTTTTTCTTTAACTTTTTTTTTTTCTTCAATCAAAACATTGCTGCTAGAGCTGTTCTACAATAGCAGCTATACGGCACAGTCTAGCCTCAGCGTGACTTTGGGGTGCTATGACTGGACCCCACTGGACTAGACATTGCAGGGCTTGCCTGGAAGTGACCTTCGGCATTGTTTTCCACATAGAGTGCTTTCCAGACCCCTTTGGTAACAAGTTAGCTGCACAGCACTTTCCCAGCCCATAGCCAATGGCTTTGTTTCAGCACTAGCTCTGTCTCTGACAACTCACTCTGGGTGTAGGTCAGTCGACTGAGCACTGGGAGCTATCTCATTGTTTGGATCTCTGGACACCCTTAAAATCCTTGCTTCCCTCTAGTTCCTATCATGGAAGGGGTTAATGGTGAGGGATGGAGCCCTGACTTGATCCACCGGTTGGAGTGTTGCACATGTTTGATACTCTTTCCTGTCATTCTCTGCCAAGGAAGCATCTCCTCTGCTGCTGCTCTCGCTTTGCTAAGAACCACTAGAACTGTGATCACAGGTCCATTTATGCTGTCTGCCTACAGTGACTTGGTTACCTTGCCTTGTACCCCAAGCTACATTGTTTTACTACCATTTGATTGCAACATGTCGGATAAAAGAAAGCCCAGAACTTCTTTCTACCTCAGGTAGCTTTGGATTTTCACCTCGATCAGGACATCGTTCTTCCTTCCTTCCCTCTATCCAGCTCCACTTCATTGGGAGCAGATATCCCTCCATTGCCTTTATGTGAGGGTCTATCTTTCAGCTTCCTTCAAAAAAACTGATTTCTTTTTCATTCTGGATGGTCCCTGTAAAGATGCATCAACTTCTCATGCCACCATCTTTCTCTGTGTATCAGACAGACCATTATCCAAGCTTATGGACTCAAGGATCCGGTCACTCCCTTTCCTGTCAGGACACACTCTGCCAGATCTGTCAGTGCCTCTTGGGCTTTAAACATTAGGCTACTGTTTCCCTTATGTGCAAGGCCACCATCTAGTCTTCTGTTCACATGTTTTCTAGGTCTTCCAGGTAGATTTTCAGGCCTCCTCTGAAGCCAGCTTCAAGTGTAAGGTCCTTAAAGTGGCTCTTTGAGCTGCAGGCACTCCGCAGTTTTCTGTTGTGTTTAGTGGGCCTGTTAGTGTTTGTTGTTGCCCACCTCTCAGTTTGATTGCTTTTGGATGTCCCGAAGGTTAAGGTGCCCATATACCTTACGATTATCGGACGAAACTTTTCATCCGATGATGGAACCGTCATACGATTTTCGTACGACGGCCCCATCCTGCCCCGATTATCGAAAGGTTCAATCAGCGGTAGTTTAAAAAAAACCACCTAGACGACTTGCGGTAATTGACCGCAATTATTTTTTTTTGCGCATGCGCAGCGTTAATCGTACGACTTTTGACTGACAGAAACGCCACCAACCATGCGAACATCGTACGATCGACCAAAGTTTTCAAACATGCTTGACCATCAAAAGTCGTACGATTGTACAGTACTATCGGTCGGGCACTCTATTCACACGTTACGATTGTTGTACGAAAAGTCGATCGCATACGATTATCGTACGATAATCGTAAGGTGTATGGGCACCTTTACAGTCTTCCTGTGTTCTGCAGTGGATGAGAGAGAAAATATAATTTTTCTACTCGCCATAATCTTATTGTGGGAGTCCATTGAGGGACACAGGTCCCACCCCTCTGTGTTTATGGTCATGCTCTTGGTACTGCTTTGTTACAAAACTAAGGCATGCTGGTAATGGGAGAGGTTATCCTTGACTGGCACACAATTTTGTGGTTTGTCAGTGTTACACTCTCCTGTAGGCTCCAGGATAACCCAGAGGTTACAGTCTTCCTGTGTTTCATGGTGACTAAATAAATCCTTTTTTTAAAGTGTGCCTCTAGGCAATTTTTTAGTTTTTATAGAGCGGGGAAGTGTTAGACTATAAATAAAGAATAACAAAAAACTATATCTCAATTGTATTTCTTGCTTTTTTGAGACTGTCAAATATATACAGAATCAGTATGGCACATCCGACACCTGTTTGTTGATATAGCCTAACCGGCACAATCAAGTTAACATCTCAATGCAATATATCCCAGTGGCAGTGTTCCTCCTTGGTAACGGGCTGCTATCTCACCACTCGAGACCGAGCTTTTATTCTTTAAAATGCTTCCATATAACACAGACACAAAACAGACACAAAACAGACACAAAACAGACAAACAGGACAGGGAAAACACACAGAGGACATAGGTCTTCAAAAAGAAGAGCAGTCCAAGAAAAACCTCGCCGCTGTCAGTTTTGTTTTATTGCAGTCTGTGTCTACACTGAGGAGATTCACCTGTCTATTTGTACTGGTAACTATGGTCACTGAGAATGAAAGTGAAATCCAAAATGTCTAAGGCCTCATTCACACAGCTATATGCTGGCCCGTACAGTTCTGTGCTGCGTGCACGGCCGTATCGGGCAGCTCCCGGGAAGGACAGGTGCTGCGTGTGATTTGTACGCAGCAGCCTGTCCTTCTCTATGGGAGTACGCGGCCGTATGACGCCCTACGCTCACCCGAACTGCACGTCCGTGTGGGTGCGGGTGCCCCTGCTCAGAATATTCCACTGGGGACACACGTTTCAGAGACAACTGTCTGAAAGTGGAATTCCCCTCATTTTGGGAGATTTGCTGTAATTTCCAGTTGCGTCTCTGGCACGTAATGAAGGGAAATTTTCCCCAATGGTACACAGACAGCAAAAAAAAAAAACCTCCGGGACACTAAGGGGTTTGTGTCCTATTTGCTGTTCAGGTCTGTGGAATGCAGTGTATTTGGGTGGTTTTAATAGAAACTGCACTGTAGGGAATACTGACCCCTTGGATATGTCTTGACTTGGATACAGCTGATAATTCACAAGGAAATTGTAAGATTCAGTAGGAGGAGAGCTAATTCACACCGGGAAATGCCCATTGAACTCGGGACTGACACCACTGAGTGCCTCCTGACCTCATGGGTGAAACTCTCATATACACTAGCAGTCAGTACTCATTGACACAGCACCCCAAACAGTGCCTCCAACATCTGGTGCATTGTAGTCCTCCTGATTTTTATTACTTCTTTTCACATGTCCCATCCATCTGGAGATAATTGCAAACCTCTGAAAGTAGTAAATATGTCAGAATAACTAGTCTTTTTTTTTCTTTCCCTTTTTGCACCTCTAACATGACTTTTCATGATCTTCCCTACAGATCGCATAAACATCAAGAGGAAAGGGGCATGGCCATCTTCCTACCTGTCTGTACAGAATGTGATTGACTGTGGCAATGCAGGATCCTGCGAGGGTGGAGACCATGGAGGGGTCTGGGAATACGCAAATAGTCATGGTATCCCTGATGAAACCTGCAACAACTACCAGGCCAAGGACCAGGGTGAGAGAAGGGGACATCAATGGGCAACAATGGGCCTGGTTTGTCCCAGTCTGTGGTGCTCCAAAACAGTCATGTTCTTTGTCTGTAGAATGGTAGAACAATAGGTGAAATTGGTTGCTTTGGACAATACAAAATGAGACGAATCTTCCTTCACTCTGATAAATGGGTCCATATGAGCTTTACTTACAGCAGCATGCTCCCTGTTCTTTTAACCCCTTCGTGACGGGAGACGTACAGTGTACGTCTTGTCACTTTGTGCCTATATGACTGGCCACGTACACTGTACGTGACGAGTTATATCAGGCTTTGTAATGCCGGTAATTGCTGATTCTCAGCATTTAACAGTCATTCATTAATGTCTCAGTATTGAGGCATTAATTAATGAAATAATTAAGCTTTTTGTAAAAGCTTCTTCCTTTCATTAATGAAAGAATGAAGCCGTTACATGCAAATAGAGGACCGCAATTTGCGATCCCGTATTTGACAGCTCAAAATAGCAGAGAGGCAGCAGTGACTCACCTCACCTCTCTGCTATTTGTTTTGACAGTTCGAGAGCCCGATGTTTAGATACATTTCACTGAAAGAATACAATGTATATCTTTTGAGTGAAATGTATCATTTCTGATCGTCTAGGCACGATCAAAGAGCTTTTAGTGAGATCTGAATCTGACTAAAGTCAGGATCAGTCTCTAAGGTTATTATTAGCTGTTCCTAAGTTTGGATCAGCCTAATAGCCAAAAATAAAATAAAAAAGTTAATTTATCAAGCTGTCATAGTGATTGCTTGATATAAACTGACAAGAAAAAAAAAAGTTTTTTTATTTTATTTTTATTTTTTTTACAAAGTGTAAAAAAATTAAAATAAAGTGTAAAACAAAATTAGGAAAATATAAATTATATATAAATATATTTTTTATACTATAATTAATATAAAAAAATTCTAAAAAAAAAAATAATAATCAAAACTTGTGAAAAAAGTGTTTTCTTCTAGTTTTTTTCCTAATTTTTTTATTTTATTCAAACTAAGTGAGGGGTTAGGTACACATATGTGATATAATTATATAGCCCTATCTGTCCTCTAAAAAACAATATATAATATGTGTGGGTACATTTAGTAAGAAAGTATATTACTGCTGTGGAAGAATCACACAGCAAAAATGTAAAAAATGTGTCAGTCATTTATGAACAGAACCTGAAAACTAGCTCAGTCATGAAGGGGTTAAACTCGATGGTCAGTGTGAAAGCTTCAGTGTCCTTTATATTTTGATATACTCTCAATGTGAGCCCATTACTCATATTTAGAATGGTGTGTTCTATTCAAGTGTTTGTGGACAATGTTTTTAGAAAGGCTTCAGAACCATTGGGGGCTGACATGTTAACATTATGGCTGTGCCAAAGTCACTCAGCTCGGGACTATGGTGGTGAATGGACGTGACGACCATGGCGAGTGTTTGCTCAGGCAGGGGTGTGGTATTCCTATCGCCCCGGGACAGGCAGTTTCGGGAGCCATGCGTAGTTTTTCTACATTTAGCCCAGCTGCGGGCAAGCAGCACGGCTAAATGTTGTGTGGGAGCTGTTTTGTACAAGTCATTTTAAAAAGCTGTACAGCTGTCCAAAAATCACTTGTAACCTGCCTGAATCACGCTTCCCCCCCTCCTCTCTTCCTATCTTCAGCGTGCGGTCACCCCGCTCCTGGCTGCTTCGCTCTCTGCACGTGGGCTTCCTTTTTGCCATTGTCTAGGGGAGGGAGGGGATGGGGACTGCCCCCACTTAGTGTGTACATGCTCTCATTTTGTGTGTGTGTCTGGCCCCCCTTAATGCTTTGCTTTATGTCCGTTTGCCTCCATTTAGTGTATGTGTGTATGTCTGCCCCCACTTACAGTATAGGTTTGTGTGTGCGTCTTACACCTGCATAGTGTGTTGGGTTGTGTGTGTTTATGTCTCCCCCATTTAGCACGTGTGTTGCCTGTCTGTCCCCACTTAGCATGCAGGTCCGACTTCCCCCACTTGCGCCTGCACTCAGTGTGTTGGGGTGCGTCTCTGCTCCCATTTAGTTTGTGGATGTGTGCTTCTGGTGTGTGTGTGCTTCTGGTGTGTGTGTGTGTGTGTGTGCTTCTGGTGGGTGTGTGTGCGTTGTGGCTAAAAGTCCTCCCATGACCCAACTAAAGAACTCAGGCCTGTATAGACATCATTTATTATCAGCAGTATACAAATTATGCAAAGAGAAAAAGGCATAAGTACCAAGTGAACCTGAGGGACCCGCTGGGGTTCACACAGTGCTGGCTGAGCTCTTGTGGTGGAAGGTCCGTGTCCCATGAGTGATTTTGTAGCAAGAATCGATCCTGAAGAGTTAGTTTCTGAGCGATTGACATTTTGCACCTCCTCAGTGGCTACTCATGTTATCCAATGCAGCCGCAGGTGACCATCCCACACCAGTCATTTCTGCTGCGTATAGATTGTAGCAGATACACATTGTGTCTTCAATACACAAGTCTCTGATGTGATATATAAAAGATGCTGCAAGAAGTGTTCATGTAGTTTACAGAGAGGAGACATATTGTGATTATTGCAAACATTGCATGGTCTGATCTGCATAAATGTATCACTGACTTTGCATGAACACTGAATGCTTCTTCTGAAATAACAGACTGCAACAAATTCAACCAGTGTGGGACCTGCTTGACGTTCGGGCAGTGCTTCTTCCTCGCCAACTACACGCTGTGGAAAGTCGGCGACTACGGCTCTGTCAGTGGGAGGGAGAAGATGATGGCTGAGATCTACAAGAATGGACCAATCAGGTGACCAGACTCCAGACATTATGTAACCAACATTATTTAAGGGCCAGTCCACACACAACTTGTTCTTGTATTAATGGTTGTCCTCACCTTGTTGGCACTTATATTTCTCACGACATGAGGGGTAGAGCTCACAGTTTTTCAGCTCTGTTCTGCTATAGAATCTCACTCAATATTCCCTAAGATATCAGTTGTGTATAGAGTGAAGGTCTAATGCATGGGGGTAGGCAACCTGGACACACTAGCTGTTATGAAACTACAAGTCACATGAGGCATTGCAAGACTCACAGTCATAGACATGATAGTATTTGTAGTTCCACAACAGCTGCCGTGCCAAGGTTGTCTATCCCGGCTCTAATGCATACTCATCCTCCAAATAGAAGTAAACTGAAGTTTTGACATGTTTCCTGTCCTTATTGCCAAAGCAGCCACATACCATCTCTTCAACGTAGTCTGGTTTGCTGCCATGGGCAATAAGAACGTATCTTCCTTATCCATCGTCCATAACCCCATCACATCTGAATAATGATCCTGAACTGTGAACTCCAGGCAAGCAGCCAACGTCTGAAGACAGACACAAAATATTTCTGTTCAGCAGTTGCTGTGATTCATTTAGCACTGAATGGACACAGATTGCAAAGTGCAGTAACTCACAGCGACCAATCAGCATTGAGTAAACTTTATCTGATTGGGCTTGAGGATTGCCCACGGCTGCTGCACTTTCACATAACATGGTGGCATGAGTAACTGGGCTAGCTACAGGCTGATAGGACCTGGCCACAGCAACCAATTTCAGATACTTTGATAAGTGAGGTGACATGAAATTGTATTTGCTACAAGGCATCTCTGTGAACGGTTTTGTGTAAAATCAGTGATGTGTGACACATGCGTTTGTATTTCATTTCAGCTGTGGAATAATGGCTACAGCTAAATTAGACGCCTACACCGGGGGCCTGTACGCCGAGTACCATCCAAGTGCCATGGTGAATCACATAGTGTCTGTAGCCGGCTGGGGTGTGGATGAGAACGGCGTGGAGTACTGGATTGTCCGCAACTCCTGGGGAGAACCTTGGGTGAGCTATTGTTTCATATATATATATATATATGAGGGGTTTACTGCAGACAGCCAATTGGCAGAGGACACCTGAGCTGGGTTGTGGACTGACAACGCCTGGAGCCCCCTTAGCACTACAAGCTTACGGGGGCCCCTTTTTCTGGTTTGGTTATTTTGACTTAAATTTTTCGATTCTGCCAATTATCCGAGTGAATGCATCTCCATCAAAATATCCAATCAGAAAAAATATCTTCCATCTAGCTCACATTCCA